CAGAAATAAAATTCTGAATCGACTCCAATTTTGACACGGCAAACAAATCTCTAGAACTGGAAGAAAATCCTTAAGCTGGCAACGCTGTATGGTTGGGCTCGGGTATATGCGCCCGTGCACTAGTTTTCCGGACCTGCGCAGATTGAATGAGCGCATTTACAATTAGTCGAGGAAATAAAGCACTGAACCTCTGAAATTTTTCGATCAAGTCGTATCAAGATAGGGTTTTTTTGCATTTGGTTTCTAAAATTATGTGAAAAAAATGTATTATGTTTTTCGGCCAAATTGCATTTGTGTAGTGCAAAAAGGCATCCGGAAAAATGCATTTTTTAAAGTCGCTTAGAAAAAATTCATAACTCTGTTAATAATGCTTGGAATGGACTCAAATCAGAGTCCTGGGGATTTTCGAGGTCGCTGATCCCGAATATGACCTTAAAATTGGTCCATCGCCGACCTGGAGCTTAGGATTGATGATGAACGTCATCTCCGAGGCTTCTCCTGAATTTTCCTCTTAAATGCAACGAGACTTGACACCCGGGGTTTTTTCGGGGTGCTCTTCTCGAATCTGGCGTCGTGCGACCACCCCCCGGACACCTGGTGCACCGGAACCTGGACATGGACGTCATCTCCGGGAGTTTTCCTGTAAAATTCGCGTAAACGAACCGAAAATCGCATCAAGGGGTTTTTCGGGGCACTCTTCTCGAATCTGGCGTCGGCGACCACCCCCCGGACACCTGGTGCACCGGAACCTGGACCTTGAAATCGGCGTCATCGCCAGAAAAATCAATAAACAGTGAATTATCAATATATTTGAGACTGCCGTTAATACTGCAATAACTTGTTTGGAATTGTTGATCTCATTTAAAGTATGAAAATAGAGGGAATAAATTGAATGTCACAATGTATGCAAGTGTTGTTTCAAAAACAAATCAAAATCATTTATTTCCAAATCAATTGCCATTTCTAACCTATTCTTAACTTCAATTTAATTTAACTCAAATATAATCTAACTCCATTTTATCCTAATCTAACCAACTATTAACTTTAATTTGAAAATATTCTACTAAATATCATGTTCATCATCAACTGACGTATAGGGCCCGGACAGTTATTCGAGGGCCCAGGTCTGGGGGCCCACAGTCGTCCATGCGTCATATTATAAGATAATTTCGCCACGAAAAGCCCCCTGATGCGATTTTCGGCTCGTTTACGTGAATTTTACAGGAAAACTCCTGGAGATGACGTCCATGTCCAGGTTCCGGTGCACAAGGTATCCGGGGGGGTGCTCGCCGACGCCAGATTAGGAATCAGCGACCCGAAAAACCTCCGGGTGTCAAGTCTGGTTGCATTTAAGAGTGAAATTCAGGAGAAGCCTCGGAGATGACGTTCATCATCAATCCTAAGCTCCAGGTCGGCGATGGACCAATTTGAAGGTCATATTCTGGATCAGCGACCTCTAAAACCCCCAGGACCGTGATTTGAGTTCATTTCAGGCATTATTAACCGAGTTATGAATTTTTTCTTAGTGACTTTAAAAAATGCATTTTTCCGGATGCATTTTGCACTGCACAAATGCAATTTGGCCGAAAAACATAATACAAAGTTGACACATTTTTTCCACATAATTTTAGATATCGAATGCAAAAAAATTGCGGAGATTTCGGCTCTTTTTGTGCTTTATTTCCTCGACTAAATACTGATGATTTTGGTTTGGATATGTATAAGTTATAACGGTAAACTACCGTTTGCTAGCTATTAGAGATGCATATAAAGCATGTAATAATAATAAAAATATTTAATTTGACTAATCGCTAGTATGCTATCCCCATTGTTATTGATTTCTACTTTTATATGATTGAGTATCAACTTAAAAATATGATGACCGTACATCATTTTCACAGTGGTATCAGTTGAAATATATAATCAGTATCTTTTTTGTTACCTTGTTACGGCCTGCCATTTCTCTTGTAGACAAGCGGGATACCGCAAATAAACTATATTTCTAGCACATCTATCTCGTGATTGCCGTAATATATCACAATTTTAATACATATCTATAAAAGGTGGAATTTACAATTCAGAAATGAAATAAAAAGCGTAGAAGCAGCGCCCTCGCGGCGTTTGAATAATGCAGAAGAGTATTTCTAATTTTTCAGTGCCGAGAATAAGTGTGCGTATTAGCATAAATTGGAATTTGCATGTAGGTAATGTACCACAAATACGGCCATTTTATAGATACTCGTAAGTTTTAGTGCGACGATTTTTAACAATCTCCGGGATACTAGGACTGAAGTTCACTGTCACACTCCGCCCCAGGGCCGGCACCAGGGACGTATTTTATATTTACGGGGTGTAACCATTGAATGGAGTTCATAGTTATACAAATGCTACCTTTGACTTTTAGATACTCGTGCCATAAGTTTTTTTTTAGGAATTTTCATACCCCGCCGCTGAACAGGTTAGTGTAACCTCAAAAAATATCACAAGAAACTTAACAATGAAGATACATAAACACTCCGCATTAAATTTTACTATAAAATTAGCCATAATAGTATACTACACTGTACTATACACATTCTAATTCAATTGCAGTAAGAACGTCTTCGAATTTCCGTCGGTCATTTGTTTTTTGTCCGCCTAGCGTCCTGTTGTCAGGTGGATTAATATTATGTAGTTCAACTAAACTTGGTCAACGTCAGAGGTCACTGACGCTGACATTCACAAACTAAACACAGTGCTTTAAGGAAATAACAATAAATATTTTTTATAATTTGAAATGAGTTAAAAAGTAATTTTTTTTATTTATTTTTACAAATTCTTTTAAATTGTAGTGTCGCTCTGTCACTTTGTAGGTTTCATATAGTTGGTTGAAAAAAGTAACAACAGATGCAGCACAATAATATTAGAAAACGTGTGTTGTGAATTTTCTTCTTTCATCACAATATTCTTCAGGAGTAAAAGTTACTGTTACATTTTTGCATCAGTCTTTTCTATAGGAAGGAAATAGGAGTGTCAAGGACACACAAGGTCTACCTTTCCTTATTACATTATTTTAGCTGTAATATCACGAAATTCAGTTAAAATCATTTAATTAAAATTAAATCCCGAGACCGCAGAGGTAAATATTCCGAGACCGTGCCTGTGCGGCAATTGTCTTGGGTATATGAACTGTAGAGTGCCGTGGAGATATAGTCAACAACTGATGCCTAGAATGATATCTTGTACGCTCCATCTAAATCCAAATTGAGGGCGTCGCCACCGCGATATTCGCAGGAAACAAACCGATCTCCCGTCTTTTGAAACTGTATCACTGTTACATTGTTCCTTTTTCGACCTAGGGGGTAAATGGTCGTTTCTTCCGATCAACGAGAAATCTAGTAAATATAAGGTAACAGATTCAATCATCGTTTTTTCCGTACGGTTCCAATTTTCGTTTTGTTCTTTCACGATACAGTTAAAGGACATATACGTTGTATCTGGACAAACAGACAGACATTTCTTAAAAATATAGTCAAGGTTCTTTAGTAGTATAAAATATATTTTAATTTTCTTGTATTCAGTTTAATAAATTGTAACAGTGATAAACAGACGATGACGCGGACAACGACTATTACGACTAGGATGACGACAAGAACGACGATAAGGATGACGACGAAAATGACGATAAAGGAAATGACGAGAATAGATATTCTTTTAAATCATAGTCAAGATTCTTTTGTAGTGGCACAAAAGTATGGAAACCCCTTAATAACTCGTCAGGAGTGCATTCTCTTGAAATATGATAAATACAAAAGTTTTAGGATTTTTCCCTGGCTATTCAATGGCGCCCTTGTATTCGACCTTGACCTTGACCTTCAAGGTAATTTCAAAGTCAAAAATGATTTTTCAAATGGGAACCCCTATTTTTTATTGCGGATTTGGAAAGAGCAGGAAATTTTACGTTCAAGTACTTATGACCTTAACCATATCCTTGACCACGACCTTCAAGATCACTCCAAGGTCAAAGTTGTTTTGTCAACAGGAACCGCTACTTTTATTGCGGATTTGGAAAGTGCATGAAACTTTACGTTTAACTTGTCCGCCATCTTGGATTACGAGTTTTCAAAAACCGATTTCCGATTCTTAATCAGCGACCACAAAAACCCCCGTATATCAAATTTGGCGAAAATTGGTTGATTTTTTAAGAATATTATCCGCCATCTTAGATCCGCCATCTTGGATTGAGAATTTTCAAAAACCGATTTCCGATTCTTAATGAGCGACCACAAAACCCCCGTATACCAAATTTGGCGAACATAGGTTGATTTTTAAAAATATTGTCCGCCATCTTGGATTGCGAATTTTCAAAAACCGATTTCCGATTCTTAATCAGCGACCACAAAACCCCCCGTATACCAAATGTGGCGAAAATTTGTTGATTTTTAAAAATATTGTCCGTCATCTTGGATTGCGAATTTTCAAAAACCGATTTCCAATTCTTAATCAGCGACCAGATCCGTAATAAAAGGTAGTGGTTCCTGTTGAAAAAACAACTTTGACCTTGGAGTGACCTTGAAAGTCGTGGTCAAGGTCATACTTGAATGTAAAATTTCCTGCTCTTTCCAAATCCGCAATAAAAAATAGGGGTTCCCATTTTAAAAACAATTTTGACTTTAAAATGACCTCGAAGGTCAAGGTCAAGGTCGAATACAAGGGCGCCATTGAATAGCCAGGGAAAAATCCTAAAACTTTTGTATTTATCATTTTTCAAGAAAATGCATTCCTGACGAGTTATTCAGGGGTTTCCATTCTTTTATGCCACCCTGTATAGATTGTAGCAGTAATTCTGTGACAAATAGAGGACGACGATAATGGTAACGAAGACGACAATGACAACGACAACGAAGATGAACATGTCAACAAGAGCGACAGTAATAACGACAAGGAGGACAAAGAGGACTACAATGACAACGAGGATGACAAAATCACTGACAAAGGCGATGAAAACTAGAACGACAAAGATGACGACAACGAGAATGACAAAGATCACGAGAACGACCACGATGACGATGACGAGGATAACGATGAAGACAACGATGAGGGCGACAACAAATGTGAACGATGACAACGACGACAACAAGGATGTCAATGACGATAATGAGGACGACGATGGGGATGACGATGAGGACAATGTTTTCATCGTCCCTATGGACGACGATAAGGTCGACGATGAGGATGACGACGAGGACAATAATGAGGACGACGATGACGATGATAACGTTGATGATGACCGCGTTTTTTCAAGTGTAGCCCCCTTCCGCACAAGCCTTTGGCTTTTGGATTTGGGGGTTGTCTCATTTCTGTGGTGTGTTTTTTATGTTTATGTTTTATGACGATAATGACGATGAGGATGACGAAGACAATGACAATGAATTAACTCCAGGGTCGGATTAAGAAATAATGGTTTAAATATAATTTTAAATACAATGTAGTCAGCAAAAATCTAAAAAAAAATCATTGGCCTAGAAACTTTAAATGTTTTTGAAAATATTATATATAAATATACATTTATCAAATAATTAAAACCTTATATATATATCCGATTTTTCGGACCCCTCGCACGTACGCCTCTGAGCACCTAGCCGGTTACAATCTGCCACTCATTAAACGGGGGGTTAGGCCGTATGCACGAGGCAATTTGATCGCTTAATTAGCAAAGATGGAAAGATTATGTGAAAGAGTTAATTGGAAATTGTTCTACAGCATCCATCTGAAAGGATCAGTCTTCGATGGTGATGCCTGAAAAACTCCCGTAATTGGCTAGTCTGAGTGCAGAACTAAGCCCCCGATAAATTTGACTGATCTATACTACCCGAAAAAGAAAAAAAATACGCAAATACGATGAGAGGAATCTTATGGGAATCGACCAAATGCAGTTGATATTTGACACTGTATTTCTTATAAAATATACAGAGTAGCACGTTAAAAACGCAACAAAAGATAGACTGCTTCAGCCAAATACGCTTCTATAAAATTTTGCTTTTTTTCACACCTGCTGTAATATGCTGTAATATGACAACATAGCGCTAGGTAGGCAAAAAACAAATGTAAAACGTTAATTCAGCGAAACGAAAATTGTAATATGAAGTAATTCGGTATGAGTGTTTATGAACCTTCATTGTTTACGTTACAAGTGATATTATGGGGTACGAAAATTATGAAAAGTTAAAAATCAATTTTCTTGATGAAATTTGAAAAAACATAATTATTATGTATCTTTAAAGATCAAAGGTAGCCTCCATATAAAAATGGCTCCCACTAAAAGTTACACCCTGTACAGTTATATGTACTAGTTGGACGGAATTAAAAAAATGCAACCATTTTCGAAATAAAACCAATTTAAAACAGTTATTTTGTATTGAAATACTCCTTGTAGATATTTATCCGTGTTTTTGGCAACTTCCAATAGATTTTGCTAATGCGTAAAGCGAAATACTCGACTCACTAACGCGTAAAGCGAAACACTTTACGCCCTAGTGCGTAAAATAAACTACTTTAATTTCATTTATAACAAGTACTTTTGAACGGGCGCCTGTTGTTAATATTTCAATCCGACTTTGGGATTATTTTTTGAGCCGCCCCGTAGATCCCCCGGCAATCAAAAAATAGTTCTGGTCGGGACCCGGCCGGTTATCCAGTAGCTTCATGGGCCGGTAACTAGCGAGGATTCCGTTATGCTGAGCAAACACACAGGTGAGGCAGTGGATGTAAGAAAATAAGACATGACGAATGGAACAGACCTGGCCTGACGAACCGTATGCAAAGTAAATGCAATTAAAGGGCACCCCATCATTAATAACTGTAAGTAAACATTGTCATCGGCCATTAGCAGTTTGTTAACAAAGGTACGTCAACCAAGGAACGGACGTGCGAGATTCATCATTCACCGCTGCAATGCATATTTAAATCTTTGTAAATATATACTGGCCTGAAAAATTATATGTGCCTTCATTAATCTTTATTTTTGCTTGTTTTATTACAAACGAAATATGTGACCCTCTCCAACGTCAAAACAGGTTTTCAAGGGTTTAAGCGACTGTTAAATACCGTATATTATTACCAAATAACCAACTCATTTAGATTTAATAAATATCTGTTACCTTTTTCACGTTTGTAATGCGCACGATTCTTAATTTCATTAAACTGTACAGATACAAAAACATGGCAAACCCTTCTGTAGTGTCGTTGTAAGATTTGCAAGACGATTCATCTTATACATTTAAAGAGGTATAAAAAATAAAAATATAAAGTCGGAAATGCACCGCTTGAATAGAAACTTAAAAAGTCTCTCTGTCTTAGTACCGACAAGAGGTTCCTAAAAGGCTAAGCGCCTTTTTGTCTTCAGTGCGACTAACCGTCACCCAGTGACGTACTTGAACAATTCCTAAGTTCGATAATAATTGACTAGTAGCCAAGAAATTTTAATTTTCTGCTACTGCTACTCCTAAAAGTATGCCGGCTGTTACAAATGAATATTTCGAAAATATATGTTAAAACTACTAATAATTGAAATATATTTCTAACAAAATTATGAGAATTTTCAACTATTACTCCTAAAATTAAATATTTTGTTACAAATTAATACTTCAGCAGTACAAGTTCAAACTACAAATAATTAAATTATAATGGTTACAAAGTTAAGAGAATTTTTATGCATATTGTTTTCGTTAATTTTTGGTGTTACAAATTGAAACATTATAGAACACGTATACTGTGAAAAATTTATTTATTTGTTACAAACACAATGGTATGTACGAGTATTATCTCAGGAAAATGAAAATAAAAATAAATACAATACAATCCTCCTACGTCTAGGATATTGTAAAAATTTGCTGGCATTTTGTTACAAATATAAGTAATCAATTTTTCAATTAATTTTATACATCTTTTATAAATTGGCAATAACAGCGTCATATTAGTACCAACACAAAATGCATAAGTCTTCTAAGTCATGTGCAGTTACGAGTAAATTAAAAATTTTGTAACAAAATCATATGAATTTGTAACACTATTTTACAGATATAACAAAATAATCAGTAGCAGGTTTTATGAACGTCCCCATTTGATATTAAAAAATATACCTGTACATTTACTGTTTAACAATATATCTATATGATTATTCCCCAGAGAAGATGCACATAAGTACAGAATGACAGTAGATATAGTTTACTGATAGTAACAAACTATTATCAGAAAATTATAATTAAATGAATACATAAGTAATTCCTTTTAAACGCGTTTGTTAATGATGTACTACTTCTTTATAATTTGCAATTAAATTAGAAATTATATTCATAACAAAACTATGAGCATTTGTAACAAATTAATCTCTTTTATCTTTAAAAAGTACAACTAATTAAAACATCATGTTTCATGAGCATCTATCTTTATCGGATACAAAAAAATATATATTATTTCATGTTTTGTTACAAATTTAAATAACAAATATTCATGGAATTAGATCAGGGTTAGGCCGTATGCACGAGGCAATTTGATCGCTTAATTAGCAAAGATGGAAAGATTATGTGAAAGAGTTAATTGGAAATTGTTCTACAGCATCCATCTGAAAGGATCAGTCTTCGATGGTGATGCCTGAAAAACTCCCGTAATTGGCTAGTCTGAGTGCAGAACTAAGCCCCCGATAAATTTGACTGATCTATACTACCCGAAAAAGAAAAAAAATACGCAAATACGATGAGAGGAATCTTATGGGAATCGGCCAAATGCAGTTGNGATAGTAACAAAATACTATCAGAAAATTATAATTAAATGAATACATAACTAATTCCTTTTAAAGGCGTTTACTAATGTACTACATTTCTTTATAATTTGCAATTAAATTAGAAATTATATTTATAACAAAACTATGAGCATTTGTAACAAATTGGTCTCTTCTATCTTTAAAAAGTACAAATAATTAAAACATCACGTTTTATGAACATCTATCTTCATCGGATACAAAAAAAATATATTATTTCACGTTTTGTTACAAATTTAAATAATAAATATTAATGGAATTAGATCAACATAATATTGATCCATACTGTTTCCATAACGTTTTAAAAAAACATATTTTGTAAATTTAAGACTATTTCTCGACGATATTTACGTAGTTATATTACAAAATTTAAATTTTAAGTTGTTACAAATTTAATTTGTAACCCCGTGGCATTTTATTTCGATATTACTTATCCGCCAATAATTCCGAAGAAAAAATATAGGGACGCCATTGAATCCTGGACGTAGGATCTCATTTGCAAAATGTACACGCACAAGTAGATGGTCATACATAGGGCTAGATACAGTGGCCACTAGTGGCTACATAAGATGTACAGAGCTCTTCTGGGTTACAAGGCACTTCACAACCATGAAGCACATCTTTAGACGCTAATGGTCGGCTTTGTTCGTAATGAACGATCTTGGAAACAAACGACAATTCCAGTCCTACAGTTCTACATTTATATGTTAATTTATAAACAGAAACCATATCAGGGGATAGTCCGGTACAATACGGTCAGAAAATGGACCTCGATGAGTAGGTCAAACGTTGACCCAATTCGGCCAACCAAGATTTGTAATTCAATGAAAAGCTTGACAAGATACCAGAAGAACACATTTGGTTTTAATCAATAAAGAAGCAACCAAAAATGAGATAATTTCCAAACACGAGTGGAAAATAAGTTTTTATATAACTAGTGTGTAACAATTTTCTCAGTGTCCCACGGTAGAGACTTTACGCGTTGGTGCGTAATGTATTTTATTTTACACACTAATGTCTAAAATTAAATTGGATATTATTTTAAAATAAATAAATACCATTTGATGACATCTAATATGACAGGTGGCTGTATCCTCATCGCGACATTGAAATACAATTAATTTTTCGCATTAGTGTGTAAAGTTTACTTTACGCACAAGTGCGTAATGTACAAATACGTACAGTTAGTATTCAGTAAAGTTTTACAATCATTTAGGGAAAATTAAGTAACAATATTAAAGGAAAACTATGTTTATCGAAGAAAGACATGTATTAAATTAATTTAATAACAATTAAATAATTATACAAACATTTCTAGTCACGTAGCAAATAAATAAAAACGATATAAACTGTTGCATGGAAGGATTATAATTGTTTGAATATTTCTACCCCTCTTTCAAGTCACAAGGATTATCCCGAAAGCCAAAGACTTGTGTGGGAGTGGGGGCGGCGTATTACTATTCTGTGTGCAGCATTTGCAGTTAAA